AAGAAATGAAGCTCCAGTAGGGAACACACTGACTTAGCAGAATCATTTGCCTGTCTGTCAGGTTTTCTCAGGGCTATGTCTCCCCAGATTAGTGTGTTTTAGGAGTGGGATGGGGGAAACAGATGTATCCTCTCCTGACCCCAACAAAAGTTGTTTGCTGACCTCCGTTTTATTCATATTTATTCATTCAATTTATATGCCGCCCAAACTACCCAGAGGTCGCGGCTTACAATTTATATGCCGCCCAAACTACCCAGAGGTCTCTGGGCGGCTTACAATAATTTTTCTTGGTCCTTGCTTTTTTCTTCTGCTATGCAGGAGCGGGTGTCACCATTGTGCCTGGGTACGTTATGTCGTGCTTGCGGGCCAATTTCTCTCTTGTCAATTACACCAATACAAAAAGTACAGAAAAAAACAACAACAGCAGCAGAGTGTCTTCTGGAGAGGCAATAAGTAGTGGATTGCATATCCACATTTTCTCCTGAATGCCGCTTTTTTCGCATCTGGTCTTGTTTTCTAAAAGACAGTGGTTTCCTAACTTCTTACATTTAATTAATTAAAAATATTTTTACCCGCCCTTTCTCCTAAAAAAAGACCCAAAGTGGCTTACACCATTAAAAACACAATCTTAAAAGCTGAAAACAATAAATTATTCAAATATAAAGAAGAATTAATAACAATAAATTTAAAATGTTAGGTAAAAGCATTACAAAAATTTGATTTAGAAGCAATGGAATATAAACCAGCCTGTTTATTGACTCCTAGACAGTCAGTCATTAAGGAAAAGCCTGCCTGAAGAGAAAGGTCTTCGTTTGCTTGCAGAAGGACAACAAAGATGGGGCCACACTGGCATCCTGTGGGAGGGAGTTCCAGAGTCTGGGAGCAGCGACAGAGAAGGCTCACAGAGTCACAATACGTTTGCTGTATTATGGCATCACAGGGTAACAGCCAGGCCCCCAGGGCCCATCTACTAATTGATGCCTGCCTTAAAGATCTTTTACTATGTTCTTCTGGCACTCTAAACAGTACTAGACAAAGAGATCTAGCCACCCTTTTGATTTTCCACAAAAACCATGGCTAGAATTATTTGGGGCAGTGTGGAAAGTTACCCATTCATTTGAGTTACTGCTATGGCCAAACAAGTCTGCCAGCTCATACTGGAATCCCAAGGAAAAGGAATCCTAGATAACATTCTATTGGGGGATTCTGGTTATTCCTTTTAATTAGCAAAATATAAGGTAGAAAAAACATCAAAAAGGCATAATCCCTCTGCTTCCTCTTGTGTTTAATTCAATGACATAAGGCAGTCATGGATGCATGTAAGGTATGCAGGCTGGCAAATATATGTCAAGTGTATGCTTCAGGAAGGCAGGGTAGACTAAAATTCCATGCACATGTCCAAGCAGAGGCAAACGTTCATTCATTCATTCATTCATTCATTCATTCATTCATTCATTCTGCAACTTTCTCAGTGAGTTAGGTATCTGTCTGCAAAACCTGAGGTTGGAGGTTCAATTCCCCACTGTGCATTCTACAAGAGCCAGCCTGTGTGGCCTTGGGCCAGCTTCACAGTCCCAGAGCTGCCCCCAGAAGTAGGGAATGGGAAACCACTTCTGAGTACTCTCTGCCTACAAAACCCTGAAAAGAGTTGCCGCAAGTCAGAATTATTATTTCTCCATAAAAGGACCCAAGGTGGTTACGTATTAGTGACTTCATAATATATGTAGCAGCCCCCAGACACTGATCATGGAAGAGTTTTGTAAAATACGCCTGCTTGATCTGACTGTTCCAATGATGCTTTCTGGATAGTACTGTATTTTGGATCATTTAACCACAGAGTCTGTTGTATCGGTTTGCTAACACTTTTTACCAGCTTCCAACATGGCAGTAAACTATGGGCTAGAAATTGATTGCCCATCAATATTCTTGATTACCGTTAGGTGTCGTACGTTCTGAGTCTTAAAATGACTAGAAGGAACCATGAAGATGTATCACCAATTTTGACTTTTCTCCTGTTACCCCACCTGGCAATTATTAAGATCCATTTCATGTGATAGAGGCCATAATTTGCCATCTTTTATCACAGCATGAAATTGCTGTTTAGATCCTCTTTTGTCCACTTCATCTTTATTTCATATAAGGTAACGGAAAAGGCCTCCTGGCTTGCTTTTAAGATCAAAGTGATTGTCAGCTTCATAAAGAGAGAGAAACAGAGACAGAGAGGAAGAGAAAGAAAGAGAGATAGAAAAAAAAAAACCCGATACCGAGATGCAGAGGGGAAAAAAAAGAAATCAATGTACGTATATTGCTCTTCTGTGAGTTTCCTCACCTCCTTTTCTGAAAAGGGCCATGCTTCTTAGATTATGTATTTTGAAGAGTAAGGAGGACAGAAAGGTTTCTATCTATATTTAAACTGTCAAGATGAATCAAGTTCAAATGGGAAAAATAGTGTTTAAATACCAGCATCCTCTCAACCACTCTTAAGCGTGAAAGGCTTTTTCCATGCCTTACTAGAAGGACACTGAAAATAATAGATTGGCTATAGAATGTATGACAGGGAATATTTTCTTCTATCTGCTAATTACAAAGGAAAGGTGGTATTACAACATATTAAATCACAGTCAGAGAACCCCCTTTCCTCTGGAAGACAGTTGACCCATAAGCAACTGACTAGCAACTGCGTGTACAGAATCTTAGACTACCTGGCATTGAATGTGATTCATTGTGGCTTTTCTGGTGTTCTCTTGATATACCAGTGGAGCTAGAGTCAAACACTGGAGAGGCCAAAGGCCAAAGTATCCACAGTTTGAAGTACTTAGAGATCCAAATCCTCATAGGTGTTACCCTTGCACAGGAGGATAAGGAAGTACAAAGATGGTGAAGAATTTCCTCAGACTCTTGATAGAGTTTTTGCATTAGTGAGAATGACATTTTGCATAAAATGCTGCTCTGAACCAATATTTGCACATAATTGCTTTTTTGTGCAAAAATGGCAAAATTCACTTCAAACTAGGTAGGCTGTTTTTTTTTTAAGGACTGGATGGGTTCTTTGCATCTTTTTCCCACAATCACCCAATTCTTCTGCATGTAAGTGTGTGTGTGCTATGCTTCTCAAGGGGAAAGAACAGTAGAGGCATGTAGTACAAATTACAGAGACTCAAAAAGAGAGAGTGTGGCTATGCTAGCGACAGGGAGTAAGCTAGTATGGGTTGCTTTGGAACAGTAGCGCTTGATTAGAACAATCTGATTAAGTCTGATGGTTCACATGGAAATCACTCTTGCCAATATCATGAAGAGACTTCAGGATATTGGCAAATTAATAACTACTGTTGCTCCTGTATATAGAGGCATATATATTGATAAAACTTTTTGTTTGTCTTCTTTTAAGGGACTGGTCAACAAACTGCCTGCAGCCAATGCTGTGGATTCAGAAGTCACAATGGTACGGATAGGTCTACTCTGGGGGTGTCTGGCTCGCTCCAATAAAGACGTTGTCTGATTGCTGACTTTAGGAGCGGAGTAGCCCATTCCTGCAGGAGATCACACACATACACACGTGCATAAAAAGCAGAAAATGAATTTATTTTCAGGGGACAGAGAGAGAACAGAAGTAACATTTATGGAGTTGGAAGGTGCTTGGGGCGGCTTGCGATAAGGTGAAGGGCCACCTGAAACTTTTGGGATACTGATCCCCCCCTTGTTTATAAGTTGTAACTTAAAGCAGCACATTTTAAGTTATTTCTTCAACAAACAAATACACAGGACCAGTTCCATCCCATGTGCAAAGAGGTGCTCTCTGCTCATTTATGGAATAGATGACCACTGGTGACCAGATTACTACCTTTGTGGACCCATGCTACTGATTGAAGAATAGGTGCTATTAAATAGAGTAGATGCACACAGTCCTTGATTAGATGATTCACGAGGACTTACAATTTGTAAGTTTTATAACCTTCTAGGAATATTTAAAGCTAGCTTGTCTTAACAAAGGGCTAGTCCCTCTAGATGACTGAGATGTCCTCTTTATGTCCTAGCTTTACAAGAGTTTGGTTCTATGCTGTGATCTAGTCGGAGCCCACAGCGGTTAACATATTGCACAGCCTGAGTCTAGAGCATAATGCCAGTTTGTTCCACACAATTTAGCAAGCCCCCTCTGACTATGCATTGAATACCCCCTGCATTCTCTGAAAAATTGTCTGTCAAACTCTAAACATATGTGTATACAGCCTGTGTTTGATACAGATTTGCTGCTTTTGGAGTTCTCTGAATAGGAATAAAGTCATATGTAGGAGACAAAACACAGGGGAGTGCATCAGGCTTACAAATTTCATTTGTGTTATTCTGGGACATTGTGGCAATTAAGACTGCTGCTGAATTATTCTGAAAAAACAACAACACCCAACCCATCAGGTTAAACACCACAGTTCAGCACCTCAATGTGAGCTTAACTTTGGACCTTCATAGATAACCCATTACTTCTTCATCCTGGCGACTAGCATGCCATTTATCAGAAATCAGATGTCCTTATTTACTCAGTCTGCCGTAAGACACTAGCATGGGGTAGATCAATTCTGTTCACCTGCAGTATCATATATTGGATTTCAATTATTGTGGGATGCTTCGAGAGGTACTATTTGGACTGGCAAGAGGTACATAAATGGGACAAAAGAACAGGGACAGAAAGATTGTATGAAAAGGAGTTAGGCAGGTGGAATGGAATTATGTCATATGGACTTCATCTAATTGTTAACCCAGATAGAGCAAACAGATCTGAAGAGTTCACTGGAAATGAAAAGAAGTCTCAAACACAGAGACCTCCTTCTCCAGCACTGGTAGGTAGTGTGCACCATGTGCTACCTTCCACCAGAAAAGGAAACCAGCACTGGTAGGTAGTGTGCACCATGTGTTACTTTCCACCAGAAAAGGAAAATAGATACACACACACACACCACCCCGATTTATAGAATAGCAAAACAAAAGGAAACAAACTGGAAGTTTACCTCTGGTCATTACGATCCCTGCCAGGGATTTGTGGCGTGTGTGGATTGCAGCACAGTTATCTGTCACCTCTTGAAACTTCTGTGTAATTATTTGATACACTGAATCGGCAAATTCCTGAAAGACACAAAGAGAAGTCATGCTTTCACTCGGCTGGACTGCAGCAAAGGTCTGTGTCAGCAAGTTTCATAATTCCATTGGCCCCCTTTAACCAGAATGGCTTTTTTTTTTCATTGTATCACAGCAAGTATAAAGATCCTGTTTTAAACCACCTCAAAAGCCAATCTCCTTGCTTTCACATTTCATGTAGACAATTTTGTACTAGTAGCAATTTCATGTCAGAGTCTTTGGAACCAGATCATGCAAGAGGGAGGACCACACATCCTAATTTTCCAGTGCCAAGTCTATGAGCTACCCTAGATGGAATATGACACCATTATATCCCCTGATTTCACTCATTTCTTTGTCCACACAATCCGGAGGCAGTGGAAGACAGGAGGGCCTGGCGTGCTCTAGTCCATGAGGTCACGAAGAGTCGGACACGACCAAACGACTGAACAAACAAACAAATATCCCCTGATTTCACTCAGTTCTTTGTCCACACAATCTCTCTTTCCTGAAACAACAGGCAGACAACAAACACTTACTATTCTGCCTCGCAGCTTTTCCCCTCACTTCCCCTGATTGCTTCTAACATGTTGCCTGAGGAACAGAGTCGGTGATTTCACTCAGTTCTTTGTCCACACAATCTCTCTTTCCTGAAACAACAGGCAGACAACAAACACGATTCTGCCTCGCAGCTTTCCCCCTCACTTCCCCGGATTGCTTTTAACATGTTGCCTGAGGAACAGAGTGGATTCTCAAAAGCTTGCACACTTTTTAATTGCTGTTTTGATTGGAATATAAAGGTATAACTTCGGTATGCTGTTTTCAATATGATTGCTAGATTCATACGCATCTTGGACATGCAATACTGTCTTATATAATGTCAGATCACTGGTCCATGTACTGTACCTAACTATTGTGTACACAAGGTGGAAGGGGCTCTTTAGAGCAGTGGTTCTTAATCTTTGGTACTCGGATGTTTTTGAACTGCAACTCCCAGAAACCCCAGCCAGCACAGTTGGTGGTGAAGGCTTCTGGGAGTTGCAGTCCAAAACCCCTGAGTAACCCAAGGTTAAGAACCAGTGCTTTAGAGCATTAGACAGGAGTCTTCTTTTTGGATTTTAGAAGGTAGCCACGTTAGTCCGTGCAAGCGTATTAGGCAAAATCCAAAGAAATGAAACAGAAGACAAAAACATGTGGCTCCTTAAAGACTATTCTATTTTCATGTGAGTTTTTGTGGACATGTCCACTTTGTCCTAGAGATACCTGGTACTGAAACTGGGATCCTTTCAATCTTGAGGAATGAATGGCTTATATATTTATATATCCATGATGTCCTAAGAAAGATGCCCTGAAATGCACAGCTAGAATTTTGTTTCGATTTCTGAGACAGTCAAATAGGCCTAGATCTGTAGAGCGAGAAACGAATGAGTTCAGAAAGAAGCAGAAGGGACCAGGCCTTTTTCTTGTGATGTTATAGCTTTCTCTTAACTCTCAGAGAGTTTGGCTTCAGAAACGTGAAATAGAATTCATACACAGAATCCACATTTTATGAAGCAATACAGTCCGTTTTAGCATGCTTAGATCAGTCCCCAGTCACAATTTAGAAAAAATAAACATCAGGAGAGACTCACATCTGTAGGCTAAGCCGTCCACCACCTCTTTGGTCACAAATCCTTCCCAGCAACTACTTTAATATGCGCTTTAAAGTCAACTTGGTTGCAGCCAATAAATTAACTACTAGCAGACTGTCAGTCAGCAGCTAAAGTAGTTTTTTTTTGTTTCTTCCCATTCAGTGCTTTAATAAACTTGGATGTTTGTTTAGACTTGAACTTCTGCTTAGCACTTAACTGGAAGTGTTGCTCACACCAGGAATTCTATTTATGCTTTATCTTGAGTATTTTTATGCTCCCTTTCTGTAAAAACCACAAAGTCCACGCACAGATGGATTAAGAACACCATAAACAAACAAACAAACAAACAAACAAATAAATAAATAAAAGGAACAATAAACTATTAAGAAAACATTTGTAGCAACAGCAAACGTGGTGGAAAAAATAGGTATAAATTCAAGTGTTAGACGTGTCTTAGCATCTGCTCCAGATCTGAACTATCAAACATACTCATACTGATACAGACAGTCCTTTGGATAGGAAGAACTTAAAAGGTTCAGGTTTAACAACAAAAGGACTGGTTTGACCTGGTACAGTTGGTCCTTGCATGCCTAGACTACAATATGAACAATGGGTTGGAATCTTGAACATTTATTGCAGGACTGGAACAGGCTTCATGTTGTCTTCTACCACCGTGGACAACATCTCTTTTGTCTGCCTGTGGGATCATACTGTCATTTTTGCTGCTGCTGTTTTTCACCTGCAGTTCCAAAGGAGGAAGATCTGGACACAATCAATGGCTCTGTCCAGAGCAGAAGCCCTGTCTAAATGAAACCTGTAGGTAAATATTCCATGCTGTGAATATTCCTCTACCTTCTGCTCCAACAGAAAGCAGCAACATCAGAACAAGCTTCCACCCGAGTGCTTTGTCTCGAAAGATTTGTTCACATGCTGCATGCCATATGGAGCCACTATTATAATAAGTGCTCATTAATTATTAAGCTTTGCTGTAAATAAACACAGAAAAGCTGTCTTGCTATAACAGTACATGAAACAAGCTGTTCCTGTACAAATGTAAGACATACACGACTTCTCTGTTGACACCTCTCCATACTTCTCTCAATCTGACATCTCCGTTTCAAAAGGAATGTTATTATAATATATGTCTCTGAGTACCAGAATATGCTCTCTCAACACATACAGAGATATTATACACTTCCTTTAAAAAAGCTCTGGTTTATTGGGATATTGTGTTTCTCTATCCATGAGTCAAACTGCCAGGAAATGGCCCAATATTGCTGTACAACATCATGCCCACATTATCAGCAGGAAAAAGGATGCCAAGCTTTACACAGCAAAGGGAAGCCTGAATGTTGACAACACCCATGGCAGCAGTCAAGATGGTCTACAGGATACCCTCTTCTGCTCACTAACGTTCAGACTTGTTGAAAAACAGCCCTGGCAATTGTTTTGTGTTTGGGTGAGAAGTGGTGAACTGATGGGGAAAAAAAGGAGTCAGCTTCTGGGATTTTCCCTTGCTTGCTCTCAATTTGTGAATGATGGCTATAATTAAAATGTGACAGCAAAAGTTTGTAGTAGTGCTTCACCAGATTTTACAGCCCCTTCTGATTCTTTAACACATCTTCTCCACAAATTATGTTTGTAAGTTTATGCTTAAGAGTGTTTTAAGCCATAATGACAAGCAGTATACATAAGTGATAGTCTGTGTAAATCAGTTTGTTGCTTATTTATGGGCAGATTAGTTGGAAGGGGAAGTGGGAATGTGAGGGACCGAGGCTTAGTCCTTGTAAAGACAAACCTACGGCTTATCGTAACAGAAGGAGATGGAAATTGTTGGCTTTTTAGACTATAGCTTCCATAATACCCCTGGCAGCATTTTGGGAATTGTAGTCTCCCCCTCCACACATGTAAAAGAATGAGGTTCCAGTTTTGATGCTTCTTATGCCAACTATGGCAGTGTTATCAATTTCTGTTTCAATGCCAATTCCAGATTGGAGCAATGGTAGGGGGTACAAAAATAGCTTGAAGAATGCATGGTGTTCACAGGCCTCTGGCCATATGACATGGGCAGAAAGAAAAGCATCAAAGAAAGAAATGGCACTCAACTGGATCCCTTGTCCCCACCACTTTTTCTGGGTGGAAAAACTGAGAGGAAACATTTGGCCACCGACAAGGCCATACTTTAGCAGCTGGTGTTATTCAAAAAGAGCTGAAGACACTAACAAACAGAGGTGATTGGTTTGGGTATCTCTAATGTTCTAGAAAAAAGAAGTGGGCATGATTCAACGTTGTGGAATTTCACATAGACTGCTGCTTTTATCAACTTCAACTAGAACACAGGAATTTTCAAAGAGGCAGTCATGCGAGTCGGTTTCAGCTTTTGTAACGAAAACAAAACAAAAGCACAACATTGTAGCACCTTTCAAGACTAAAATTGTGAGCTTTTATGGGTTACTGTGCACTTCTGCAGACACGCAGATACCGGGAGAAACATAAATATTTATATAAACATAAATACGGTGGAAAAAGAAGGCTTCAAAAACACCTTTTTTTTTTTAAAAAAAAAGGACTACATCATAATTTTAATCACTCCCAGTCCTACAATCTGGTCCATCTTTGTTTCCGCAGTGCCCTTCATGTATGGATCCCAGGATGTTTCACAGTCGTTAGGAGTTAATTAGCTCAGAGGCACAGACGGCTCCTGGAAGAATTGCTCTTAAAATGTTAGAGAGCGCAAACAAATTTTTACACTGGCTTTAGCAATCACATTGGCCGTAGATTCCATGGCTCCATTTGGCAGCTTGTTCCAAAGAATTAAGCACAGAGACCATATCAAGGCAAAATAACAACTTGTTTTGAACAGAGAGACAATAAAAGACTCAGATTTTGCTGAATTCAAAAGACTGACTGGGGACTTTAAAGTACATTAAATACACTACAAAAGTTAGTAGAAATAACTTGACTGCTTGTTACAGAAAATCACAGATCTTTGTTGAGAAGAAAATTAGTCAATTTGTTAGAGAACTGATACAACATCATAACATAGGTCAGAGATTTCGCCAATTTATTTTGGGCAGATATTTTGTTTTATAGTTTTTTCCCACCTTCCTACCCAACTACCCCATCTACCCCTACTTAACTACCCAGTCTCCCACATCTGAGACAGACATATGCATTTGCATTTCATTCATTTAGAAAAGTTTATTCTGTTTTTAAGTTATCACCTTCCACGCCCCCTTTAGCAAGCTTTACAGTACATAACCACTGCTTTAAAATTTTAAACATTAACAATAATAAAAAATTGCAAAACCTAGCTTCCTTTGCTCCATTGTTTTGTGAATGTTAACCCTTGACTTGTCAGTAAATCTGAAAAATGGC